GCCCACCTCGCCTCGCCCGTTCCCTCCCCTCCCCTCCTCCCTCTCCTCTCCTCCCGTGGTACTTCTCCCACTTCTGCCTCTCCCTCCCCTCGCTCCCCCTCCTCCCCCTCCTCCCCTCCCCTCCCTTCCTCCTCTCCCCCTTCCTCCTGTGCTACTTCTCCCACCCTGCAGCTTCTCCCTCTCTCGTTAAAAATGGTGGGCCAGTGTTCTGTCTCGTTTGTGAGTGGTTGTCGAGCTGTGGGTGGCAGCAGCAGCAGCAAGGGGAGGAGGGGGGAGGGAGGGGGGTTGCGTTTATACGCTCCGAATCTATCAAATGACCTATTGATTCTCCGTGTATTTTTACGGTGACAGCTGTTTCCCACTGGGGGACCTTTTTTTTTTGAAAGTGCAGAGGTGGGGGGGGTTGTCCTTTAATAGAACCGAGTTCTGAGGGTAGGAGGCCCACCCAGGCAGGTAGTTTTTATTATTTGATCGCTATTTCGATGCATTTTGATTGAACCCGCATTTTTTGACGGAATCGTTTCAATTAATAACACAAAAATTGCCCGAAATAAGTACATAGAAAATCTGAATAACCGATTTTTTTGCGAGTAATCCCAAGAGGGAGTAAAACTCGAAAAGCAAATAAAGGGGGGAGGTGGTACTCCACCCCATTCGCCATTTAAGATATCAACATGAACCCCGCCCACCCAACACACTCCCCCAGTCTCCGACGAGTTTGATATGAGAATCACGAATGTTGCAAGGATCAATTTGCCGCGCGTCGATGGTGGCGGCGACAGCATTTCATTCGAAATGGAGATTCGACGATTAAAATCGTGTCCCTGTGCGGCCGATCGCATGTGTAGCCAGCCATTCATGTGTGTGTGTGGATTTCGCTCCAGTGGCTGTAAAATCGTGTGTATGTTCTTTCTCGCTCTCTCTCTTCTCTCTCTCTCTCTCCTCTGTTTTTTTTTTAAATACCAGCTCCGCTAATGATGTTTTTCCTCAATTGCAGGCGTGCGCCGCGTCTCCTCCCGTTTTTTGTCTGTAATCACCAGCAGCACGCGGCACGCACCGCAGCGCACACGCACGACGCGCACACGCAGCACGCCACAGACGCACGGCACAGCGCGACACTGAAGCGGGCACGCAGCGCTAGGTACACACTAGCGCGCCGCAGGGCGCACGCGCAGACGACGCAACGAAACGCAGCACACACTTCAATACCATCGCGGCTTCAATGTATTCTTTGAATAATACTGGGAATCACGGAGATGTGCCAAGCAGGAAGGAAGAGCGTCTCCCTTTCTCTTTCTACTTACAGGCACAACTGCTCTTCGTCTCGTCTCTCTCTCTCTTCTCTCTCTGAGGCCTCCTGCCCGTGGTCGTCTCTGCTGTCTCTCTTATTCTCTTTCCCGTCTTCCACTCTCGTCCCGCTATTCTGCTCCCTCCCGTCGTTCTCCTTTCTCGGTCTGCCTCCGCTCCCCCCTCTCTCTCCCGCTCGTCCCTCCTCATCTCGCCCTCTCTCTATGATTGAAATTGATGCAACTCCGAGTTAAGCCAGGAACACAATAAATCCTTCGTAGCACCGGGCTTTTCCTGTCTCAACAAACCAGCCGCGCCGCGCCGGCGACCAGCGCGGGTCACGGGCAACATGTACAACAACCGCGCAACAACATTATACTTAACAACATCGTTAAACTACACTGTACAACCAACTGTTGCAACTGAAATTCTCCGTACAACAACTCGCCAACACATTATACAACAACATGCTGTACAACACTGTCAACAACACTCGTAGCAAGCAACTGTAAACATACATTATACCAACAAGCTGGTTAACAAGCATGCGTACACAACTGTCAACAACGTCATCCGTACAGCAATGTTGCAACCAACATAAGCAACTGTCACAACCATCGGTACAACAACTGATCACAACATCGTTACAGCAATCTGTTAAGCACATTATAGCCTGATCATACTCTCAACCAACATCGTACAAGCAACGTCAACAACATCGTACGCACAGCTGTTAACAACATTAAACTGTACGACAACTGTCACACAAACATCGTAGCCAACAATCGTGTTTAAACATACATTATGAACGACAACTGTTAACAACATCGTACGGCATACTCGTGTTAAGACAACATTATACGACAAGCTGGTTTAACCAACGAAATCGTACGACACCTGTCCTAATACAACATTATATCGACAGACTGTCAACACATTCGACGGCAACGTCACAACACGCCGGCTCGTCTCGAATACGGTGTTGACGATAACCGCAACTACAGGCAACGGCAACCCAAGGTGGCAGGGGTTGTGGGGCCGAGGTGGGCGGGATGGGTTTGTTGGTGTGGGTTTCATCGTAGGCGTGGGTAAGCCGTAATACTGTACAAGATATACTAGCTAAGCTATACTATACTCAGGCTTTCATGATTTGAAAAGTAGAGGAGGACTAGACTAATGTCACTCGCCGTAGGACACCAATTAGGCGTTCTTTCGAACGGCTGCCATATCACACCGCCTTTAGAGAGGGCATGATCGGAGAGCTCACCACCTAAAAAAATCACATTACCGCTTAATGAGCATGATGGAGAGCTTCACACTAAAAATGCACACGCTTGTTAAAAGGATGAGTGGAGAGCTCGCTTGAGTCGGCTCCCATGCATGCCTTCTTGGGTGTGATGATGAATCATCGACCAAGTCCTCAGTCTTAAGTGAAATCCAAACGAAAATTGGGATGTCGTGTCAATGCTACTGATTTAATCTTTATGCATTCATCTTCACGCTTCATTCTCTTCATGGCTGGCTTCGTCAGGGAATTAGCATTCTTTGCACTCCAAACAACCCACACTAGCACATCAGATTAATAAAAAGTTGATCGGATGTAAAAATTAACTTGTTTTATTTTATTCTGATTTCCATCCTTGTCAGGAGATTCTACATCCATGTACGCTGCATATTCAGTCGGCAAATATATGCATCACAATCCAGTTCGACAAACTAGACAATTACGTTGTACGTAGTAGCCACGTATGTAGCCGCTTTCAGCCGCTACGACTGGGTTTCACGTTGGCAGACAACCAGCTCTCGGCCACGTATAGTAGAAACGAGCAGGTTAACTTGTGGCGCTACCCGTATAGTACCCTGTATTGGAATGAGTTTTTGTTTACGTTATTTTATATATATATATAAACCAGTAGTAGTAACGACAGCACCCTGTACCTGCTGGGCGATATCGTCAGTCACTTACGCACGCGACAAATTGTTTGTGTTTTTGTCTAACGCTTTTTGTCACCACGCTCCACTTGAGAACTCCTAGGAGCGCTAATTTCAACATAATAGACATACTTTGGTGGCGCGATTTTCAACCACTTTTAGAGGCGCCGATGATGTCGCGACCATGGAACAATGTTCGGGGGCGCGGCTGCGAGCGCGAAGGCCGAATCGGCGCTCCTTAAAAATGACAGCGCTGTAAATACTGATAACTAATCTACTGACTATGCCATGCATTGCCATGCCATGGCGCGCTCGCATGCGCATTCCATGCCCATGGCTGTTGCCTATAGCTTATACTATGCTATACTTCATTATTTCTATAATACGGCCTGGGC